ATAAGCTGACTTGCCAAGGAGGGTGTCGTATGACATGTTTGATAATTGTGCACCCGCCTTGTCCCTCCTCGTGTTATGTAGCTTTACCTTCAACCTCGTTCAGGCTGGATTTCCCACTATTGTGTCCGTACTGATTCCTTTCATTTAGCTTTCTGTATAAATGTCGCTTATAAGTTAAAGGCCGCCCGCACCTTTATTTCTTATCATTTTGAGCGTTTCAGGTTAACTACATTCAGGCTATTCGAATGTCTTTCGTCCTCTGCGCTTTTAGTTTCCGTGGCAATATAATGCTAGCTAGGTTGTACATATCAATATAATGCTTATTATAGCTAGGTTGTACATATCGATTTTGCAATTGTTCACAATGCTTCAGTTTTTTATCCTTGATTATAGAAGCTGATCTTTCTTCAAGAAAGATAAAAAACTAATAGATTAATTCTAAAATTAATAGATAATTCTAAACCAAACTTGATGCATACACAATACATAAACTACTTGTCTTAAACCTTAATTCTTAAGACCTTATTCCTTAAAATTAATCAATCTGTTCCAAGTACGTCCATGGCTGTCATTTTTACATTCACATCATATTTATAGCAACAGAAGGTGGTAAAATAATAAGATAGTACCAGATGGTGAGCAGTGAACGTTCTCACTGTAATGTGATTATTCTGAACTACTACACGTGACTATACTACTGCACGTGATAACTTCTCATCACGTGGTATATTGTTGAGTATTGTTGACCCGATAGAGAGTTAAAGTTGGGTGCTCTGAACCCGATAAAGAGTTAAAGTTGGGTGCTCTGAACCCTACAGAGAGTTAGGGTTGGGTACTCTGAACCCTACAGAGAGTTAAAGTTGGGTGCTCTGAACCCGATAGAGAGTTACAGTTAGGTGCTCTGAACTCGATAGAAAGTTAAAATTGGGTGCTCTGAACCCGATAAAAAGTTAAAGTTGGGTGCTCTGAACCCGATAGAGAGTTACAGTTGGGTGCTCTGAACCCTACAGAGAGTTAAAGTTGGGTGCTCTGAACCCGATAGAGAGTTAAAGTTGGGTGCTCTATACCCGATAGAGAATTAAAGTTGGTTGCTCTGAACCCGATAGAGAGTTAAAGTTGGGTGCTCTGAACCCGATAGAGAGTTACAGTTGGGTGCTCTGAACTCGATAGAGAGTTAAAATTTGGTGCTCTAAACCCTGAGATCGTTGGAACTATTGGTTAAGTCCAGTGATTATTCTACACCGGGGTAATGCATACAAATTTAGGACTTTTAGTGTTATTCTATTGCAATTTCGGGCTTTTACCGACCAACCTTAAGCGGCCAACATTTACCGACCAGTAATAAATTAGATGGTATCGCTAATTATATTAATATACTTCTAAAATCTAAATCTATCACGATCTTTCTTTGTTGATCAGCAGCTGATCGGGCATGTCGCCTACTTTATGGGATTAAATTTGAATGGACATTAATTGGACGCTGGAGGCCCTAGCATTCATTCTAATGTTCGTTGAAATAAAGTCCGGTAAGGTAGTTAAATTAAAAACTGATCATGAATGCCTTCGAGCGTTCATTTTAATGTCCACTCTTAATGTCCGTTCACGCAATAGCAGGTCAAATAACGTTAAATAACGTCCGATAAGTGATGCCTTCCCACGTGATGTTTTGTTACATTCGTGCACTGTTAACTGTCTCATAACGTAACATTCGTGTACTGTTAACTGTCTTATAACGTAACATTCGTGCACTGTTAACTGTCTTATAACGTAACATTCGTGCAATGTTAACTGTCTTATAACGCAACATTCGTGCACTGTTAACTGTCTTATAACGTAACATTCGTGCACTGTCAACTGTCTTATAACGTAACATTCGTGCACTGTTAACTGTCTTATAACGTAACATTCGTGCACTGTTAACTGTATTATAACGTAACATTCGTGCACTGTCAACTGTCTTATAACGCAACATTCGTGCACTGTTAACTGTCTTATAACGTAACATTCGTGCACTGTTAACTGTCTCATAACGCAACATTCGTGCACTGTTAACTGTCTTATAACGTAACATTCGTGCACTGTTAACTGTCTTATAACGTAACATTCGTGCACTGTTAACTGTCTTATAACGCAACATTCGTGTACTGTTAACTGTCTTATAACGTAACATTCGTGCACTGTTAACTGTCTTATAACGTAACATTCGTGCCGTGCAATGTTAACTGTCTCATAACGCAACATTCGTGTACTGTTAACTGTCTTATAACGCAACATTCGTGCACTGTTAACTGTCTTATAACGTAACATTCGTGCACTGTTAACTGTCTTATAACGTAACATTCGTACACTGTTAACTGTCTTATAACGCAACATTCGTACACTGTTAACTGTCTTATAACGCAACATTCGTGCACTGTTAACTGTCTTATAACGCAACATTCGTGTACTGTTAACTGTCTTATAACGCAACATTCGTGTACTGTTAACTGTCTTATAACGCAACATTCGTGCACTGTTAACTGTCTTATAACGTAACATTCGTGCACTGTTAACTGTTTTATAACGTAACATTCGTGCACTGTTAACTGTCTTATAACGCAACATTCGTGTACTGTTAACTGTCTTATAACGTAACATTCGTGCACTGTTAACTGTCTTATAACGTAACATTCGTGCCGTGCAATGTTAACTGTCTCATAACGCAACATTCGTGTACTGTTAACTGTCTTATAACGCAACATTTGTGCACTGTTAACTGTCTTATAACGCAACATTCGTGCATTGTTAACTGTCTCATAACGTAACATCATTTGAAATAAATTTCTGACATTTACTAATTCTGCTCAGTTAGGACGATCTTATAACGAATGAAAGTTATAGCTGTCACGTTGCCAAGTTCAACAGCATCTTCATACTCTAAACTCAATTCTTTGTTATAAAAAAGTGCGCACAAAACTTTCAACTCAGCATTTGACAACATGTTATAAAAATTGTTTAATTCGTGAGAATTGAGTCTGATAAGAAATTTACTTCAAATAACGTGACGTTTGTTTCTCTGTCAGTTACTTTTGTTCATTTTTCGTCTTGCTCTGTCTTTATTACTTTATTAGACATTGCTCACTCAATAGCTGAATAGTGGTCGATTAACATACATTCAAAATCCGTCGATTAGCATGAACGCATGTGATGCAAATTCAGTCATGTTTCTCGGCTTCTATTAAATAATCTTTTAACCCTATAACTTCATAGATTCAGATTGATAATATCCTTGCGTTTATTGTATTTTGTTTGTTTTCCATTCACTTGATTTGTTGCTACAACTCCTTATAGGGAAATTGTAATATTCTAGAGACATATTATTACAATCGCACTTAGAACACAGCCTGCAATGATATCCCCAATCAGAAACAGTGTTGCTGGTAGATTCTACATCATCAGACCAGGCTAAATAAAGGTTTCAATCCAATGAATTTCATCACAATGCATAAATGAGATAGGTGAGTGAGTCCGGGGCTGCACCAATAGCAACTCTCCACAGGATCAGGGCCACCAGGGGTGGTTTAACACAGACCACGTGGTAGCTACCCTGCCAGGTATCAGTTTACCACCCCCACCTGGTGGCTCTGTGATCAGCTCAAATTTCTCTGTTCTTCGGATCTTGCTGTGCTTTCAGCTTATAGCTTGTTGCTAGTCCAGGTTATCTATAGGGTACCTATCATGATGGTTAACATTAGATGATATACTTCATTATATAGTTTGTTATCAACTCGCAAAAACGTCATGATTCTAATTCCGCCAGTGTTTCCCTTAATTGGTTTTGTAGTTTGGAGTTGGGAACTATCTAATACTTTCAGATTTCTGTACCAGTGCTGAAATAATATTTATGATATTCATCAAGCTCGACATAAAGGAAAACTGCGTACATATAGATTAATTCTTATTATGATTCTCTCCTCTGTAAGCCTATACAATATCCTTCCAATAATACCCAGCTAAAAGCTTTTCTCGTGTATTATATGGATTACGAGGACTGGAGACCTCGCAGTGTCAGGAACACATTAGTTTCCACATATATACTGGTATCACTGAATGGTGGTGTCCTGGTGGCGTAGATTTGTTACCATGGTAACGGTGTCGTGTTCTCATACAGCTGCCGGCATTTTGTCATTTTTAAAGATTCCGATCTGTTCTGATATTCACTAATTGTCCTGGTGTGCGGTGACTGGTTTACTTTCGTTATGTTTCATGCGACCAGAAGCTTCTATTTGGGGTTTTTTACCGTAAATATAACGTATTGAACGCTCACCCACAACTATCTTGCTTTAATCGAGAAGCTTCGAAGTTTCTTCAGATCTAGCTAAATTATTTAAAAATAACATAACCACGCTCCGTTGTTACATTGTCGGCTATTATACTTCATGTGTCTCCAATCTCCATAAACTTTAATCGAATGTTAGCTATAGTGGCTCACATTATATTGTTAGCTATACTCTATAGTGTCTCACATTATATTGTATGATGTGTAGAAGAGGCAGCTGGCAGATGTTACCAACTTGTTCACTAGTCTTATCTATCATTACTGATATGTGGTTACAACTAGGTGATGCCGATTGTAATCGTCATTAAGCCACATTGGAAATGGTAAAACTTCAGGAGTTTATACAAGACAGGGTCTGTGAGGATGGTATATGATCGGAATAAGAGTCAGGTCATGAGTTTTAATGTTTGTGAAGGTTTTGTTTTGTGGGGCCCTTTTTGGAGAGCATGCTTTTTTGTTAATCCTTTATTATGCATAGTCATATTATAGTGTACAATGTATAAATTGTTGTGTATTCGGGGATTTAGTTAAAATTTGTTTTTGTATACAACCGACAGGGGTCTTTAAAATATTTATCCCAGTGCAAACGGAATGCTCACAAATTGCAGGCCTAAATTTAATGTTATGCCCCCAAATCGTTATTATAGACCTTTTATTTTTATCTAGACACATGATATTTTGCTGATAACACTATACTTTGCTAGGCTAACAGCAAATGTATTAAGAAAGCATGAGAAACCCGGCTGTAGACCTACGATGAGCAACAACAACAATAACAATAACAACAACAACCCCTTTCTTTCGGTCTCCTGTGACAAATGCAAAATCCCAATAACTTCTGATACAAGGTAAGAACTTAGAGTATTTCTTAGAAGTGTCTATAAGTTTATACCCTGTCTCATGTTACTCTCTTCTATCATACGTGACTTATCTCTGTCACATTAGAGTCTGTCCGTCACATTAGAGTCTGTCCGTCACATTAGAGTCTGTCCGTCACATGCAAAGTGTTACAGATAAAATATCGCGAGTAAAATTTTGTTCTACACAAATCTTTAAATTATCGCAGCGAATTCATACGGTTCATAAATGTAAGCCTACGCCCTACACCTTAATTAAATCATGGCCCCATTTCTTGCTATTCTTTAAAAGCATATTTTCTGGGTTCCCATCTGGTTCCGTAACACATATCGAACTTTTGCTTTCGTTTAGTAAATAGTAGCACTCCTACATTATAAAATGTCATTCGTGCTAATACAAGAGAGCATAATAACAGCTTCTACATTACTCTTGGTTCGTGGTGTTTGCCTCGATTATATAGTCGTCGTAATAATCTTCTGGTTTTCTACACTTTGAAATGCTAGTATTGTTAACTTGAACCTATAAATGAGTTGGACAGTTGAAAGGCCGGTGGCTCACTTTCCATCGTATTAGTGACAGTTTGTGTTTGGTTGGCTTAAGTTTTGTCCTTTGGGGATCCCGAATCTGGCTTCGGTGTATTTTAGTCCCCACATTTGTAAATACCAAAACAGATTAGTTTTCACTCTGTCCCTATATCTCTTTTGAAAAGAACATAATATAGTTGTGAGCCGTGAGATCACGCTAATTTGTACTTGTTGAAAGAGATTGTACAAATGAACCATGATTCATTTCTTTAATTTCTTATCAGAACATTCGTGCGTACTCACTGCTTAACATGATCCTTTATTCGTTGGTAAAGATCATTTTCTTTGTACATGAAGTGCACAAAGTTTTATAATTTTGTTTTAATATTTCATTATATGAACGACCATCAAGCGACAAGCTGTAGTTGATACAATGTGTTACATTCTCAAGTCTCATGGAATATATATTCTAGGTTTTCTTTTGAAGATGTTGTGACTTTTTAAAAGGTTTTACCTTGTACCATTGAATTATAGAAAATGTCGCGAAGTGTAAAATCCGCCAGTAAATCCTCTAGTGAGCTAGTGGCTGGTGTAACGCTCACTGTTTCTCCGAGTTTGATTCGACCAGATGTGGTGGAGCTTTACGAAGCTGAAAACAGACCGATGATACTTAACAGGTCCCTCCTTCAATCTACACTTATGGGTAGATACGAATTTACTCACAAAGCAATCTGGGCAGTCAGTCTCCCTCAAACGAATGAAACATGGGATAAAATCAACTGTTTATTTTTAAGTAGTTCGGTTCCAATGTTTGAGCATTGGGCTTTCGTAGCAAGAGGCTGCTTTCCCGGACTAAAGGACAGTGTTGTATACTTTGTGGCTCAGTATAACTCTGATAGTTATATCCCCACTACTAAGGAACGCGAAGCAGAGAAGAAAAAAGGGGTAAAAAAGTATCACTTTGCTGCCGATCTAGTCGAGAATTGCAAGAGGCACGCCGCACTGCTTCTCTGCACCACCAAAGGTAAAACAAACGTCTGGGTATTTCTACCAGATTCCAGTCATCAGGATGAGTGGGTCAGAATGGGAGATATTCTAACAGATCCGGAGGGACAATTAGTCAGCGGACAGATTGATCCCTCGCAATGGGAAAGGATGCCATCTCCTCGGAAACTGGGAGACCTGAACGAGTTAATGTACCAAACTGATCTTGTCGGCCAGGAGTACACTGCAGGGGAGAAAAACTGCCAAATGTTCGCAAAAAGTATGTTCCGTCTTGCGTAGTTTCTCGATACGGAACATGCGTATTTGCAAAAAAGGATGTTCGCATTAACTTAGATAACATTAAGACTTGTGGAAAATTTAATCGAAGTCATTGGAAAACTATCATTGTTAGCGTATGCGATTCATTTTTCAATGTACTAGAATATCAACATTATATAAGCCTGTAATTATTTTTATCATCAAAATCAGTTTCTTTAAATTTGTTGTTTTATTTATTCGCAGATAAGTCCATCTATTTTGTTGTCAACTCTTACACAATAGAATCTGATTCAAAGGAAGCTTTGCAATTTATTATTATGGAACCAAAAATTGTTTCAAGGTTTCAGATTGCAGTTTAAAGACACTGGCCACAGTAGTTATTTGGAGATACCGCAAAACTCATTCATGTTTACTTCAGGTTCGAGTACCTATGTGGCCACATCATCTGTAGGATCTGTGACACGGGACGTTCCTGTCAGTACTGCGGGCACCCCGGAGTAGCAAACCAACACAACAAGTTAGTGTACTGATCACTTATATAACCTGTAATATCCGGATCCGAACTTTATTTATTAGTCACATTGTTGTAATGCTTCTGGGGCAAAATTTGTAGTGTTCCCGTTTATTGCAACAAGGAAAAAGCCTTTATCATCCTCTTATCCTTATCCTGGTAAGAGCCTTTTTCTTGTCGCAACTAACGGAACACTACACATTTTGCCCCAAAATCAGTTATCTATGACCCACAAACATGCATTACTTAAATCATGATCACACTGATCGACATTGTCGCAACTCAAAACCTTGCATTGCTGCTGAATGCAAGCACACATGTTTCAACTTAAAATTTCACAACTAACTGGAATCGAAATAATATTTTGTTCGTGCAGGTAACTATGAAGCGCATTTTCATTGTTGCTAATCCTCCAACCATCACGCCAGCTGTTGATGCTGGCAGCAATACATACAATGTTACAATCACTTTAAATCATATCATACGAATTATAACTAAATCAAATAAAATGGAGTTGCCAAGGCAACCCCTATTAGAACCCTTGTTCGTATTAAGTATCGTTGACTTGACTAACTGTCCTTCTAAATTTGTATCCTAAATTATTTTGAGCATTCCTTTTGTCCAGCAACATCTTTTCCTGGATTTTAATCACGTTCTTTTAATTGTAAGAGAAGATTTGCCAGACTCTCATATTGTTGTCATGGTGTTTGTCATAGTAACAGCTTGAAACCTGAAACCTGTTCCACGTGGCATGTCCACATGGAAATTGGCAGATACACCCTACATCTTCGATTTTGCAGATTGCAACATCTTGAAATTGAGTTGTACATAACTGTTAACCGATCTGCTCTCTGAAATTTATTTAAGCTATCATAAATGATAAATGAAGTTGTCATACCACCCGTCTTAATTCTGAGGTCATAATGAATGACGTTATTGTCATCTCTTTTGTAACAATGAATTTAATGTTCTAGTTTTATTCCCTAACACCATATGAACACTGCAAGTTCCAGTGCGCCCTTTGCCTTTTACATAACGTACCTCCATTTCACTTATAATAACGTATCACCGTTCCAATACAGCCTTTATTTAGCAGAACATACAATTACAAACAGCTCCTTGGACAGTGCATTGCAGTTCTGTGTTAGGTTTAGCAATTCCATTGTTTTTACAACTTCCTACTCCTACTGTTCTGCTGGAGCAGGTGTCTATGCATTCAGCTGTGCCGTATGTGTAGAGTTTTTAGTGTTTGATATTCACCAATTTGTTGCTGAACCTAGTTCTCGGAAGAGAACGATATCATTTACCCAGTTTGTTTTTCCTTATTGGCAGTGCTAAACCATTTTGCTATAGCTTATTAGCTGTGTATTTCATTTCAGCAATGACGGTCCCAGCACTAGCAATGATATCTGTGAGGCTTGCGAGGACACTGCACTTTACTACTGCGTGACTTGCCCCAAACTTCTTTGTGAACGCTGTGCTCATATTCATAGGTAGGGGTAAATACGCCACTCTTCAGTGCTCAGTGCTCAAATGAAAAATTGCTGCTAATTCAGGCAAGTGCTATATGCTATTATTATTACATCTATAAATTTGGACTAAATTCTTATCATTTTCAAAATTTCAGTGTCAACGCAGCTCGAAAAGACCACCAAGTAGTCTACCTGAAAGACTATCCGCGTCAAATTCAAGATTCATCAGTTAACTACGATATCCCTGAAAACGTTTACCTGCCCAGGAAAAGAACTCCCGAAACTGCCGGGGAAGATATCCCCTCTTCCCGCAGGAGAAGACCCCAACTTGACAGACGAGACACCTGGGACCGTTCCGCTGAGACCCGGAAACCCTTCAGGAAGAATTCCGCGCCAATAAAACAGTTCTCTTACAGCAAGTCCATCAGTAGCCGGGCCAGTAGTGTTCAGAGTTTTCAGGAGTCCATGGATAAACTATCTGACAGATCGTACGACAAGTTCTCTATGAAATCAGAGAAGAGCGTAGGGACGGATGTGTCAGGGGTTGCTTCCATGATCAAGAACAACCATTTCACCATCATGGTCTACACCAACAGTGAGCCTGGCTCAGTCTGCAGTGGTCCTCCTGGACAGATCCGGGTGGTAAGGAACGCTGACCCGACCGCAGAAGTTGAGGCAATTTTAAGCAAGCCGGACTGTAGAGATTGTGGTAAGACTGGCTCTAAACCAGTTCCTGAAGATGGAGAATATCATGACCACAGGGTCTACATCCAAAGGAAAGCTTCCACTGTAAGCAGCAGCTCAAGCACAAGTTTCAGTAGCCATTGCTGCGAGTCTCACCTCGGAGAATACTCCAGGTCTAAAAGCGCGAACCCACACAGTCTGGTCTCCAAATCTGATACCATGGACGATATATCTGACATCCTAAATGTTAGCAACGATCTAAGGAGGTCAGCCTCTCCTCGAGCAGCAAGCCAGGATACAAGAGGAACTTCTCCTGGGTTGTTTTTAGTGACCTCAGAAGAGGGAAACAGTGAGCCTCCCGAAGAGCAGATGGTGGATCTGTATGAACAATTGTTTTCTCCTAATTATACTACACCACCTCCCAAGTATGAACACCATCATGATATCCCCTTACTTTCTGATATAGATAAGGGTACTGAAGGGTTCATTTCGAACCCTCCTGTTAACCAAAGCACACCAGAAAATGCCACCAAGGTCGATATCCTGGATACTAATTTTCCTTCGACTAAGTCAGCTTCTTCTAAATCCAGCATTTCGTCAGTTGATTCCAAACACTCTCCTGGGGAACAATTAACTCGATCTTCTTTCCCTGGTTCTAAAGAACCTGTGAAACTTGTCGATGATCTTCTTGATAAATACACCGCTCCAACGGTAGAACCCTCTGAGATAGAGAAGTTGCAACACTCAAATGTAACCATCACTTCAGATACGAGTGAGCCTTGTATGGTCCCTCAAAAGTCAACTGACAATATGCCCGAGCTGATTAATCGATCTTCGCCTCTTTTAGAGCGGGTCAGAAAACAAAGTCTGGGCAAAGACAACATTGAATTTATAGACGAGAAGTTGTTTGATACCAGTAGCGAGGATGAAGAGGAGGAACCGTTTGTTGGGAATGAAACATACCTGACACACTCATCCCACTACTCTGGGTCGTTAGAAGAGGATAATCTGAGTAACATCGCCGAGGAACCTTCTCTGGAAACCTGCAGTGCTACGGAGATGATCGAGCGAAAGGTCTCCGAATCTATGACAAATCTCCAAGATCATATTGAACAGAACCCAGAACACAGTGTAGAAGTTGATGGCCCTCCTGTTGTGAACAGATATGACGTGTTAGTTATACCCTCAGACAAATATCCTGCTGAACCAGAACAGGGACTTTTAGTTTTTGATGATGACGATCCAGAAATAATGTTTGATGTCGAGTCCATTGGTGATGAAGGTGATATTGATATCATGGTAACCGAGCAAAGTTTCATTACTGTTAACACTGTCCCCAATTTCATCGCTTTATCAGAAGGAAACGAAGACGATGATAAAATGTCTGTAAAGTCCATGAGTAGTGAAAGTTCGAAAGCATCAAGTAAAAAGCAGTTCAGCTACTCGAAACCAATTTTAACACATCAAAATAAGCCTTTACTTTATTCTGAAGTTTTGAAATCGAAACCTTCGAATATTTTGCCCGATGACATTTCGAACAGAAATCCCCTAGCGAGATCATCTTCCGGAGAGAAACTTAGAAAGTCCCTATCCAAAGACGATCTTTGTAAATTCTCTCCTGAAGACATCGCACATGATACACCAGAATCCATGAAAGATGTCCAAAATAAGCCCATTAAAAAGTCACCATCAAATGGAAGTCTTTCTCGCATTCCAGTGAGAAGAACATCTCGAGGAAGCTCTGACAGCAAAGAGCGATCACGCTCCTCGTCCAGGGACAGTTCATTGGAGGGTCCAAGGAGAAGGTCTTCATTAGACAGTAACGGTAAAAACTCAAGGAGAACTTCAAGATCCTCGTCCGGTGAAAGTTTAAGCAAGATTCCAATAAGGCGATCGTCTCTGGGAAAAAAACGGCGAAATTCCAATGAAATAATAAGATCACCCTCCAGAGATAGCTTGAAAAGTGACCAAAGTGGTAAACCTTACCACTCAAAACCACCACTCCCCAGATCTCATTCAAAAGATGGCATTGAAAAAAAAACAGACAATCGTCGTAAGTCTAGCTCAGACTCAAAGGATTGTCATGAAAAGAATAACATCCCAGACATTTCTCCCAAAAAAAGTGGGCAAAAATCCGAAGCTTTTTCTACTAAATCAACTCCGCCAAAATCACCTTCGAGAGAAGTATATGAAGGTATAGGGATAAAAACCTTCTCAAGATCAACCTCAAAAGATAGCCTTAGTGGGAAATCAGATATCTCAATGAAAAGAAGAAGTTCTAGTCCATCAAAGATCCCCACCCGGATGAGCCGGTCAGAGTCAATAGAAAGCATAGGGAGATCATCAGTTAGCAGTAAAGGTTCGTTCGCGTATAAGCGATCGAGAAGTCCCAAGCAGCCCAATAGTCCCTCTAGAATCCCAGTGGTCAAATCCCCTTCAACTGATCGTAAAGTACGATACAACTCAATCTCCTCTAATAACAGCGAACCTTACAGTACTGGTCAAGTGTTTTCCTTAGTGTCAGCGTCTAAAGATAGCATGATATCCAGACACAGCACCATTTCTAACTTATCCCAACCTCAACCGCTAAATGAGGATCAATTGCACTCTGCCTCATTGGCAAGTTCTGATTTTCCCAGTTCTTCTAAATGTCCACCGGGAGAAATTTCGGCACAGCCACCTTCTTCAGATGATTATCTACCCCACCACAGAAAAGATTCGTCCAGCTCATCATCATCTGATGACAATCCTCCAATTGTTTACTTTGACGTAGTTGGGGTCGACCACGCAAAACCCACTGATGAAATAACGGATCAGGCCAAGCTGGAAAGACAGTCGAATAGGAGTAGAAATTCTGACAGAAGCATCAAGTCATCACAATCAGGGAACAGCAAACAATCAGTCTCTTCAAATCACAGTAAGCCTACAACAAAAACCAGTCTGATAGATGAGAATGATACAGTGTCCGAATGCTCAGGATCCTTCATCAGTGATAACAGTTTCTTAAGAAAACACCACTCCGCCCAAATAACGTACAGTGACTCCGAGGACTCTAATAACCCTGTCTCCACAAAAAAGATCATGTTAGACAGGATACTGAGTGGGAACTATGGTAACAAGGGTGAGAATCTTGGTTTTATGGATAGTATGTCTGATCGCGAGGGTTCGTTTGCAGGGGTTTCTTCAGATGGATTAGAGAAACTAGGGAAGCGAAGGTGCTGTTAGCGAGGGCTCGGTTATGTGGAGGGAAGGAAAAGTGGAACCATTAGGTCTTACCAGTGTAGAACCACTTAGCTGTAAGCACATAGTTATTGGGGATGCCCCTGACGCGGAAGAAGCCAATCTGAATACCCTCCACTTTCCTACCATGTCTGACTATGTTAGGTGGACTGAAAATCAGAGTATCTCAGGTCAGAGTTATGATGTGGATTCTGTTGGATCCATGAGGAACTACGATGAAATTGAATTTTCTGACGGGGAAAATTCAACCCTAGAACAGGAGCTATTGTACAAATATGCCAACTACAAGAATCAAATAAGTTTAGGTGAACCTACAGAGGGTAGGAAACTGGAGGATATTCTAAGCATGGATGAGATGAGTCTGACTTCATCCAAACTGGGATCCGATCACGGCAGTAACATCATGTCAGTCTACTCTATAGAGGAGCTGGCCTCTTCTTCTACCAGTACAATAGTTGACGAGGAGGAGACCCGACACGTGGTACTGTACCAAGATGCTCCTGATGGTAACTATGGTAACCAAGATGCTCCTGATGGAGTGTACCAAGATGCTCCTGATGGGATGTACCCTCCCCGCTACTTCGACCCAGAGGAGAGGTCCGCCTCGGTTGCTTCTCGTGATCTGCCCGAGGAAAGGACTGATCCAGTGCAACGTTCTCGTTCCCAGACCAGTATCTCTAGTTCTCTTTATTCAGCGGTAAGTAAGGATCTGGGACACTATGCAGACGCGTTTAATGATGCGATGGAGCCTCATCAACAGCCAGCTGGTATAGAGGTGGACACGTTCAACAGAAAGTATAGCAAAAGAGTCAGTGCTTTACAAAAAGCAAACAGACAGCAATCTGCGACCCTGCCTCGGAACAGGAAGTCTACACCAAGCTCAGAAGATAAAGTCAGAAAAACCTACACCCTCCCAAGAAAGCAACCTAAGGAGCCAGGGGCTCTGACCAACTTCCTCAATCAGACTTACTCCGGACGGGTTCCTCCCTCTAAAAACAGCGAGAGTCGCCTGCTCAGCAGATCACTCACTTTTGGGTCAGCCAGTGATTATAAAAAGTTTGAAGGGGACGAGTGGGCCAGGTCCCTACCAAGACATCTCGGGAGAAAGGCTTACATGAGACATCCCTCTCTTCGGCAGGTTTGATCATATTTATTTTCTTGGACTATGATCCCTCTTCCGCTTATTGCTATACACTTAACAGTGAACCATATTCTTAGTCGTCAAATTAGTTTGTTACAGCCAATCACCCATTATTCTACAAACAGTAACTTATCAATATCAGGTTGATTGGAGTGTAATGGGCCGTAAAGGAACTGAACCAGGTTTTCTAATGAATCCTACTGGAATAGCAGGTAGTATATCTTGTACAATGTAGAATAGCTTTGTAACACTAGTTTTTTGTTATTGGCCCAATTTCGTCAGAGTTTAGGAATAAAAGTTTTCTCCTGTTACTACCTTATCGGACCTTATTTGGAAGGACATTAAATGAACGGACATAATTATGAACGGACATTGATATGAACGATAGAAGGCATTCAAAACCATCAAAAATCCGAATATTTGTCATTTTTTGACGTTTTTTATTTCAGCAAATGATTTTTAAATCCATTTTTTATACAGTAAGTAAGAAAAGCAGTCGTTAAGCAGTAAAAATGTTAAAATATGTGTACATGATCAGTGTCTAATATCACATATCATCTTCATCAAATGGGTTTTCGTGCATGAAATAGTCCATGTTTAAAGCATCAGTTATTTCTAGCTTTATGGAAACCTTTTTTATCAAACTACCCCGGTCCTGAATTTCAGTGTTAACAATAACAAGCCATTCGGCGTGAAGCGGTTTTATCTTAGACAACTTTAGGTTAACCTTAACATCACGTGGTGCTTTCCTAGCACTGTTTCATTACCTCCCCTGAGTAATATGAACTATAACAACGTCGGACAATGTCCTTGGCAACACGATTTACCGTAATATCTATAGGCTGGAACAAGTTTGTCATGTTGGCGGGGACTAGCTCATGAACTATGTTGTTGAGTGCCATAATTTCGTTGACTTTTTCCGCCAAGTGACCCTTGAAAACATCATATACTAGTAAAGTTTTCATATACTACTAGTAAGTTAACGACGGAAAGGAGAACCTTTCCGTCGTTAACTTACGGCACAATAAAGTTATCATAGTTGTCATATTCTGGACAAAAAGTTCGAAGTGGAACAATTTTTGAAAAAAAATTCAACGGACTTTAACTTGGACGGACCTTAAATGAACGGACTTTATTTGAACGGACATTAAGATGAACGTTAGGGCCTCTAGCGTTCAATTAATGTCCGTCTAAATAAGGTCCGATAGGGTATATAAATCGGGGTTATCCATTTTCCATCTGTCTATTTCAAAAATCCGTCTGAATTCGTCTCCCAAATAGTTTTAACACCATTCTACACCAGTTGATGAGGGCTGTGTAGCTATTGCGGAGGAAGGTAACGGGAGAATCCAAATCTTTATAGAAGACGAAAGCGAGTATTGTATCAACAATCTGGTTAACCCCTGCGGTATCGCCCTCTCACCTAAACACATTTATGTTTCTGATATAGACACAAATACGATCAGGATCTTCGGCAGAAATGCTCTTGAAAGAGCTGTTCTTGGTAAGAGATCTGGTGATAATTGCGCTCAATTTCCAGTAAAACTATTTTACAATAACGAGTAATAGAATAGTGCTGTTAGCAAACTAGATTCTCACCCCGCATCTCTTCCAGGTGAACCAGGAAATCAAAAGGGTCAGTTTAACGAGCCTCGCGGTATAGCAGTGAACAACAGTAACGGTGATTTAGCCGTGTGTGACACTGAGAACCACCGTGTACAGATATTTGACGTTCAGGGCAACTTTATCAAAACCATCGGCAAGAAGGGGAAAACCAAGGTGACATTTTGATTTGGAATATCAATTAATGACAAATTATATTAGTGATGATCGCAAATGTTAATCCCTTCTTTCTTTAAGAAGTTCTTTACATACTTTTCATCTACAGGGTGATTTCAGAGAACCGATTAGTTGCACGTACGACCGATGGGGCCGTCTTCTGGTATCCGATCACTGCAACTACCGAGTCCAGATATTCGACAACAACTACCAATACCTGGCTGACTTTGGCAAATACGGCAAGAGTTCGGGGGAGTTCTGGGGGGTCAACGGATTGTGTAGTCATCTGAACGGGGACATTCTGGTGGTGGATAGTGATAACAACTGCTTGAGTGTCCACAGCTCTGATGGTAGATTTATCAGTGTTTTCGGCAGGTGAGAAGTTCACTTAGTTTTTATTATTAATTATTACCACTACCAGGCTTTTATTTTGTTGCCGCTTCAAGTTCAACAGCTGTTTTCTTTATAATAAAATGATGAACTTTGTTTCAAAATTTGAAATTTTACTGTATAAAAAATCTGTCCCGACTTTTTCCTCTCCACGTCGAGATGATTACTCGATAATTGAAAGACAATTAATTTCCCCATCAGGAGAGGAGCAGAGAGGTGGGAGTTCCTTTACCCTCATTCAGTCGGGACTGATGAGGTTGGCAATGTTTACGTGAGCGACTGGGGCAACCACAGGATCCATATCATGGACAAGAAACTTCTTCCTTACCTGGAGCTTGAATCTCATATGTTGTAACCTATTAGATCATACGACAAGCCAAAAAGCAGCATGCACCGTGAGAAGGTGTGATTGAATTGTGACGACGTGATATTGACATGATATTGAAACCACTGTCGCTGCCTGCAGCAATGATCATGATTTAATTTGATGACAAGTTCAGAAATGAGAAATCGATGTATTATGTATTATATATTTGTAGTTTGTACTCCACAACGTTTTGTGCATTATGACAGATTTTAATCGGATTTATGATTTTTAATTTCACATTTATTTAAAGACGAGTCCACGGTATACTTTTTTATAAATGTGTATCACTATCAGTATGGTGATTAATGAATAAGTTGATTAAATCTTGGCATGATTATAATGCTTTGAAAAACAGATTTTTTTAACCGGTTTTAGAAAATTCTGACCTAAAAGATTGCAATTACTTGTACCCGCTGTGATTCGTAAAGATATTAAATTGCCATTATATTATGCATATTCATGGTTTACGAAACTTTTCCGAAGTTATCGAATCAGCTATGTTCAATGTTCAATGCATTGTTTATAGTTATCAGTTATACAGACATATCACTATATTGAAAAATCCTTTCCACTTTCACTGTTCACTGATTCAATTATTTCTGCAGCGGGCAGTATGTCGATGTGTGTACAATTATAATTATATTGATGATTACTTAATTTTAATTTAGTTTATTGATCAAATGTTGAACTTGAATGTTTATTAACAGTTAACGCAGTAAATTTTATTGATTTCCTTTCCAATTTTTGAAGCTCATTGTCTTTATTTTTATATTGTCCATTGTTAATGGACTAACCCCGCGGCGCGCGCTATTTCGTGCGTAGCACTTGCAACTTGCATCAGGCTAATACTTTAAATCCAAAACTGACTCGAATTCTAAAGCATAAACATAAAACAGTTGTAGCGCGATGCGTCACTGGTATGGGCCGCGCCGCGCATCCAATAATGCCTCTCGCAACCTTCGTTAGATCGACGAGATACGCTACTTGCTACTAACTACTGGGCCTGAGGGGCCTCACCGAACTGCGAAGAATTTTGTATCACGTCGTGACCACCACTCACAAGAGGACTATAGTGCAAAGAAACTGCTGCTAACTGCTGCTCACTGCTGCTCACTGCTGCTGATCAGTGCTCACTGCTGCTAACTGCTGCTCACTGCTGCTCACTGCTGCTCACTGCTGCTAACTGCATGCTGCTATGGGCGCGCGCATGAGTTGTAGGTTTACAACCTACCAGGACGCGCGCCGAGTTGGACTCGTCGACGGTCCGAGTTGGACTCGTCTTGACATACGTTGCATGCCACTTTTCGCGCGCGAAGCGCGCGCCGCCGAAGGCGGAAAAAGGGGCATACCATGAAGGGAATCGGACTTTTTAGAGGGACGCATATTCTGCGTCCCTATTATCCTATTTGACCAAATATGGGAGTAATTGACTGAGATGGCGCGCGCGCGCCACCAAAACAGTTAAATGCATTGTTTTTAACCAAGTTGCAATATTTGTGAGTTTACTTGGTATCTTTGTAGTATTTTTATTATCTAAACGACTTTATTAAGTCATTAGAACCTTCATGCAAACAAAAATTGAAATGTTTCAATATTTCTGTAAACTGAAAACTTGTAATTTTGTTCCAAACTGCTTAATTTTTGTACGGCGCTACTAATTCATGAAAAACGCGCTATATTTATATTTCGCATTGGATATATAGATGACCAATGATATCGTGGTGTTAAAGTCATGTGACACCGCGATGAGCTAGCTGGCGTCTAGCTGCCTAAGATCATATCTATGCTTTCTCCTTTGTCCTATTTTATCACTCGATAACTTTTTACACATGCTTTTTTGTTCAACCTGTTGTTCAATTTGTTTAACATCTCTCTGGTTATTGCAAACCACTTCAATCCCCAAATTTATACATCTAACCATCTCTCTGGTTGCTTCCAACTCGTTAAAGCCAAGGCTCGACCAGGACCGCTTTTTTGGGGCTAATATTAAATACTAGTGGACTCTTTGCAGCTCTTCCAGCACCCCTGAATTTACTGATCTGGAGGTCACATTTTATTGAGCCAGTACAGGCTAATATTAAATACTAGTGGACTCTATGCAGCTCTTCCAGCACCCCTAAATTTACTGATCTGGAGGTCACATTTTATTGAGCCAGTACAGGCTAATATTAAATACTAGTGGACTCTATGCAGCTCTTCCAGCACCCCTAAATTTACTGATCTGGAGGTCACATTCTATTGAGCCAGTACAGGCTAATATTAAATACTAGTGGACTCTATGCAGCTCTTCCAGCACCCCTAAATTTACTGATCTGGAGGTCACATTTTATTGAGCCAGTACAGGCTAATATTAAATACTAGTGGACTCTATGCAGCTCTTCCAGCACCCCTAAATTTACTGATCTGGAGGTCACATTTTATTGAGCCAGTACAGGCTAATATTAAATACTAGTGGACTCTATGCAGCTCTTCCAGCACCCCTAAATTTACTGATCTGGAGGTCACATTCTATTGAGCTAGTACAGGCTAATATTAAATACTAGTGGACTCTATGCAGCTCTTCCAGCACCCCTAATTTTACTGATCTGGAGGTCACATTTTATTGAGCCAGTACAGGCTAATATTAAATACTAGTGGACTCTATGCAGCTCTTCCAGCACCCCTAATTTTACTGATCTGGAGGTCACATTTTACTGAGCCAGTACAGGCTAATATTAAATACTAGTGGACTCTATGCAGCTCTTCCAGCACCCTTAATTTGACTGATCTGGAGGTCACATTTTATTGAGCCAGTACAGGCTAATATTAAATACTAGTGGACGATCTATGCAGCTCTTCCAGCACCCCTAATTTTACTGATCTGGAGGTCACATTTTATTGAGCTAGTACAGGCTAATATTAAATACTAGTGGACTCTATGCAGCTCTTCCAGCACCCCTAATTTTACTGATCTGGAGGTCATATTTTATTGAGCCAGTACAGGCTAATATTAAATACTAGTGGACTCTATGCAGCTCTTCCAGCACCCCTAATTTTACTGATCTGGAGGTCACATTTTATTGAGCTAGTACAGGCTAATATTAAATACTAGTGGACTCTATGCAGCTCTTCCAGCACCCCTAATTTTACTGATCTGGAGGTCATATTTTATTGAGCCAGTACAGGCTAATATTAAATACTAGTGGACTCTATGCAGCTCTTCCAGCACCCCTAATTTTACTGATCTGGAGGTCACATTTTATTGAGCCAGTACAGGCTAATATTAAATACTAGTGGACTCTATGCAGCTCTTCCAGCACCCTTAATTTTACTGATCTGGAGGTCACATTTTATTGAGCCAGTACAGGCTAATATTAAATACTAGTGGACTCTATGCAGCTCTCCCAGCACCCCTAAATTTACTGATCTGGCGGTCACATTTTATTGAGCCAGTACAGGCTAATATTAAATACTAGTGGACTCTATGCAGCTCTTCCAGCACCCCTAATTTTACTGATCTGGAAGTCACATTTTATTGAGCCAGTACAGGCTAATATTAAATACTAGTGGACTCTATGCAGCTCTTCCAGCACCCCTAAATTTACTGATCTGGAGGTCACATTTTATTGAGCCAGTACAGGCTAATATTAAATACTAGTGGACTCTATGCAGCTCTTCCAGCACCCCTAAATTTACTGATCTGGAGGTCACATTTTATTGAGCCAGTACAGGCTAATATTAAATACTAGTGGACTCTATGCAGCTCTTCTAGCACCCTTAATTTGACTGATCTGGAGGTCACATTTTATTGAGCCAGTACAGGCTAATATTAAATACTAGTGGACTCTATGCAGCTCTTCCAGCACCCTTAATTTTACTGATCTGGAGGTCACATTTTATTGAGCCAGTACAGGCTAATATTAAATACTAGTGGACTCTATGCAGCTCTTCCAGCACCCTTAATTTTACTGATCTGGAGGTCCCCTTTTTTTGAGCCAGTACAGGCTAATATTAAATACTAGTGGACTCTATGCAGCTCTTCTAGCACCCTTAATTTGACTGATCTGGAGGTCACATTTTATTGAGCCAGTACAGGCTAATATTAAATACTAGTGGACTCTATGCAGCTCTTCCAGCACCCCTAATTTAACTGATCTGGAGGTCACATTTTATTGAGCCAGTACAGGCTAATATTAAATACTAGTGGACTCTATGCAGCTCTTCCAGCACCCTTAATTTTACTGATCTGGAGGTCACATTTTATTGAGCCAGTACAGGCTAATATTAAATACTAGTGGACTCTATGCAGCTCTTCCAGCACCCCTAATTTAACTGATCTGGAGGTCACATTTTATTGAGCCAGTACAGGCTAATATTAAATACTAGTGGACTCTATGCAGCTTTTCCAGCACCCTTAATTTTACTGATCTGGAGGTCACATTTTATTGAGCCAGTACAGGCTAATATTAAATACTAGTGGACTCTATGCAGCTCTTCCAGCACCCTTAATTTTACTGATCTGGAGGTCACATTCTATTGAGCTAGTACAGGCTAATATTAAATACTAGTGGACTCTATGCAGCTCTTCCAGCACCCCTAATTTTACTGATCTGGAGGTCACATTTTATTGAGCCAGTACAGGCTAATATTAAATACTAGTGGACTCTATGCAGCTCTCCCAGCACCCCTAATTTTACTGATCTGGAGGTCACATTTTATTGAGCTAGTACAGGCTAATATTAAATACTAGTGGACTCTATGCAGCTCTTCCAGCACCCCTAATTTTACTGATCTGGAGGTTACATTTTATTGAGCCAGTACAGGCTAATATTAAATACTAGTGGACTCTATGCAGCTCTCCCAGCACCCCTAAATTTACTGATCTGGCGGTCACATTTTACTGAGCCAGTACAGGCTAATATTAAATACTAGTGGACTCTATGCAGCTCTTCCAGCACCCCTAATTTTACTGATCTGGAGGTCATATTTTATTGAGCCAGTACAGGCTAATATTAAATACTAGTGGACTCTATGCAGCTCTTCCAGCACCCCTAATTTTACTGATCTGGAGGTCACATTTTATTGAGCTAGTACAGGCTAATATTAAATACTAGTGGACTCTATGCAGCTCTTCCAGCACCCCTAATTTTACTGATCTGGAGGTCATATTTTATTGAGCCAGTACAGGCTAATATTAAATACTAGTGGACTCTATGCAGCTCTTCCAGCACCCCTAAATTTACTGATCTGGAGGTCACATTTTATTGAGCCAGTACAGGCTAATATTAAATACTAGTGGACTCTATGCAGCTTTCCCAGCACCCTTAATTTTACTGATCTGGAGGTCACATTTTCCCTCAGTAGCTACTCTCCCACTCAGTATTAATTCTCTGTCTTCATCAGTGATACTCTACATTTCCCTCAGTAGCTACTCTTCCACTCAGTATTAATTCTCTGTCTTCATCAGTGATACTCTACATTTCCCTCAGTAGCTACTCTTCCACTCAGTATTAACTCTCTAAATAAATTATGACAATTATGTTAGTTATAGAATTTGTTTGTTTTTTAATGACGAAGGCTGTGAAATGTTCACAGTTCTGATAATGAGGAAATCAGAAAGATTGTTTAAAACTAGTGATGATGTTTATGTCATTATTCTTAATCTAATCTAATCTAATCTTTGCTGCAGGTGCTTGTCACGTCACATGCCTTAGGCTAGGATGATATCCAGGTAACCATTTTATGGGATCATTTGAAACATAAGCACCCTTCTAAACACAAGGAAGCAACTGCAATACGTGAATCACAGAGGGTCAAGACTCAAGAGACAAAAGTCTGATGAAGTCGAAGCTGAGCGGAGATCGATGTATCAACTGACAACATCTAATCAGCCCACACTGGGGGCAGTCTGGAGCGGCGCCACTGTTACTAGACTGATGAACGTCAAAAAGATCTAAAAAGTTGCTCCTGAAATGGATTATTGATCAGATGCTCCCATACACGACTGTTGAGAATGAACAATTTCAACAGTTTGTTGACGGTAAGATTGATTTGGGACGTTTTTAATAATTTAGCTCAATAAAAAACAACTTTTCTAGGCTCGAGCTGTGATGACTCCAGATTAAAATTCCAATTGAGTTCTTTGTGATGATAAAATTGATTGCTATTAAGTAAATTAGCAGCAGATTGACAATCATTTGTTGGATAATCATTTACAGATAAATTAAGATCATCTGACTTCCGGCTCATTCAGGTTTGAACAAGAAGTTTGACATACCCTCAGAGAAGGTGGTGCGCACAAAACTGTTTCCTGAATTATATGATAGAGTACAGTTTAAACTGAAGAAATTTATTGACTGAAAGGAGCTGATTACAGTCTGAGCTGTGATGTTTGGTTGTCAAAAGCGCTGGATTCCTATTTGGGGGTCATAATACACTTCGTAACTACAAACTTCGAAAGAAAAGTTATTGTACTGAGATGCCTTCCCTATAACCGAGCACATACCGGTAAGTTCTATCGTTAAATCTGAATAATTTAGCTCATATATATATCTAATTTGTGTCATTTCTAACCCCATGATCAAAGTTCAAACTCAGAACTCAGGACTGCCAATGCCATATAGATTGTAAAATTCGAAATACATGCTCATTTCGAGTTCATCAGAGTGCGCTTAGCTTTTTGATAGTAGAAAATATTAACCGTTAGCTGCCCACATAGTTTCTAATTACAAATTATTACGTGACTCGTTAAAGAACAATGTGTCATTTGTACTGCAGGCATGGGGTCTGTCCGAAGAGAAACTTCACTGCGTTATCAGCGACACTGCTTCAAACATGAAAAAGGCTTTGTCCGCCTGGATCCTGTTTTCTCCATCTACTGAATCTCATCGTAAAGAATTCTGTTTTTCTCAAAGTGGAGTTAACCGGCTTATCAAAAAGATCAAGAGTCTTATCAAGGAGTTTAGAACCCCTGCAGGTGAGAATCACTACATTTACCTTAGGTTTTCTGTTTGATGATTTCATTGTCACATACTGATAATAACGGCTGATTCAAAATATTTTCTTACTGAAATGTACACATTAATAACGTTTGATTAAAATGTTGCCGTAGGTACATGTTCGTTGAGTGACATAATCTTGGCAAAACTATCATTGTTACGACTTGCGTTTATCATTTCTTAACTATCATATGTTAAACTATCCCGCACATGCAGGTAAACGTCTACTGAATGAAAATCAAGCAGTAGAGGCAACTCTCATCAGACCAGTTGCAGTGGACACGAGATGGAACAGTTATTACATGATCTTCCAGGCCTTTCAGAATAAAAAATATGCAATAACAATCACCGGTCAAAATGCAGAGTTATCGTTGTCTGCATCTCAACAGGTCAGTTTACATGCAGCTCTTTTGACTCATCTCTCATTTTCTGAGTAGCACTAGTTAACATCAAGTTTAGAGAATCAATGTCCCTGGAATGTAACTGGAACAAATTCTTGTCCGCTGGACCTCCTAATTCCTAGCTCACTTCTCAATGTACAGGCTAAGTATTGATCAACTGAATTTTGCAGATGACTCCTCACGATTGGGATCTTCTGACCAAAGCTATTGCGGTACTGAAGCCATTCTACATCACCACAAAAGCGGCGGAGGGGGACATGGTTTCTGTTTCGGAGGTTATCCCAAATATAAAGAAACTGGATTACGCTATCAGGAGCATATCCTCAAGTGGAGTCGGAACTCTGAAACCCACGCTGCTTTCCGAAATGTAAAACCAAGTATGTGATATATGAACTTGCAAGTGACCCATGCAACAACCATGTCACCATGTGGTCAAGTATTCATTTTTAACCTCCGGTTTGTGCTACCAAGCATTGATTCAGGCGTTATTGGTCGCTCTGCATGTCGTTTTAAGTTACTTTTCAAATACATCCTAATGTTGGGGTTTTTTATAAGCTATTAATGTAAAAGAAATATTTTTGGGTATGCAAACAAATCAACAATCATGGATTGCCTGTACAGTATCTTTACGTATCATCTAATGATCTATTGTGACATAATATATTTCAGGAGACTGAAGAAATGCAAAGATAGTGCAGCGATCTAAAGAGAATGAGTTAGAAGACCTTCGGAATCTGAAAGTGGAGTCGCTCTACCTTGACGGGAGAAAAGATGCAGCATTGTGATGAGCTTAGGATCGACATTAGACAACTCGCCACTAAGATCTTGTGGCTGTTACGCCACTAACGTCAACACCGGACGTCACAATGGGATTATAGCCCTCTTAGAGAAGAATTTTGGATGGGAATTGCAAAGATTTATTTGGTGCCTTCACAGGATAGACCTGCCATTAAAAAATTTAAGGGGTTCTGAGTCCTGAACTGTCGAGAGAACGAATTGGTCCTCTCAGCCACGCAAGGTGGATTATAATGCAGTAGAGTTAGTTATATTATCAATATTTACTTACCGCTTGATTTGAATATGAAGTATAAAAGCTCATTCCGAGTTGTGTTCTATGAGTAAGCTAGAAGGTAGCATATTTATTTTAAAGGGATTAGATTTATTTATGTTTTGTTTTAGAACCATCTACTTCTGAGCTGCCCTGTCAAAATTAAAAGGGTGTATAGGTTGTCCCGGCAAAAGCCTCCTTAAATTATTAATGGACGATCCTAAAGACCGTAATTTGGTCATGAACACTTCAGAAGAATTGAATGAAATAAAGGATATTGCCCGCTGTAAACAATGTCGGAGGAACCGTTATTGTAGCTTTTGCCCATTTTACGGTGTGAAGATGTTTTTACCATGGTAGATTCGGTTCACGTACCCAAGTTCGACACGCACTCTAGTTCGTCACTTATACCATGTAGTTCGACAAACCCTGAGGTTCGACTCTGTCGAACTAAAGTGCTCTATCTGGAGTCAAGTTCGATACGCACTAAAGTTAGACAAGAGAACTTTGACTGTCGGACTACAGTTTTGAAATCTCCAATATCCAGCAACGATCCTTTACGAGCTTGAAATCTATTCGTTTGTTAGTTTTCCACTTGTCTCATGCTGTTCAATTATGTGTTTATATAATTTCTATAATCCATATCTATGGACATTTAATTGACCTCATACTCCATTGTTAGTTATTAGAATTGTAGGCTTAACGGAGAAATAAAAGAGTAACGTGGTAACTCTTACTTCGCATTGTAGATTATGTTAGTGAAGTAGTTAGCTAATTAGTGATTCACTCCCGGCGCGAGAACAAAGCGCCAGGAAAATAAGACAATTTTTCGCGCGAACTTGTAAATTTACTTACGCCGCGCAGAGATGTTCCTTCATGGTGTATCCATAATATCTCTGATATTTGGATACGAAACATGTATCAAGACTCGTCAAAGGTCCAATATATGGAACAAATATTTTACGAGTATCACCCGTTAAGCGCATGAGCAGCAGTGAGCATGAGCAGCAGTTAAAAGCAGTGAGCAGCAGTGAGCAGCAATTAGCAGCAGTTAGCAGCAGTGAGCAGCAATTAGTAGCAGTTTCTTTGCACTATAGTCCTCCTGTGCACTGTCGTTTTACTTTAGAGTTCTTTGTATCACATCGTGACCCCCACGGTCGTTTCACTACAGGGGGAGCCGCGCACGGGTGCGCGGCGGGTCATGCAACGGGTCATACAACGGGTCATATAACGTATGACAATTAGGTATTGTAGCGCAATCACCGCAGCGAACGCCGCGGGCTTCATATTGCTGCGCGTGTTAAAACAAATTTTCGGCATAAATTTGTCAGGAGATCGACTGTAATTCCGTTCACGAACCTTTTAAAGATATTTGACAGTGCCGATTCTATCCCGTAAAGGATTTTCAATAGTGCCGAGGAAAAATAAAACATCAAATTCATTCATCTGAACATTAGTAAAGGTTATAATGATATCAAATCAAGATTTCAAACGCGTACAATCATTAACTCTAATCAATTATTGTCAACTGTGATTAAAGATCATAGCAAAGTATGCTATCCTATATGTAAGCTACAATGAGGAAGAAACAGCATTATACAACAGTATTACAATAATAAATATAGGCATAATACCAAAATGTAACTATTACTGCTAATAAATACAGTTTAAAGATAAACTTATCAAATTTAAAATTGACACGAAACTAATACGCGGTTTATATTAGAATGCAACACAAACACTAAACACATCAAATAGAAACAAAAAAAGATATCTCGCACTGTCAGTCATTACATATTACAATTATATAAATAACACCGAAGAACTCATATATCAACAGCTCGAGTAGCGCACACTACTAGTACTAATATCGAGTGTCTGACAGTGGCAGGGGAAGCGTCCAAGGTTCGATGCCGCGACCGTGATCTTTTAAACATTTTGTGAAAGTCGTCTTTGTTTAAGAAGGTCCACTTCCAGTAGCCCATTTTCTCCCCACATAACATTTCTTCATCCTCAGCAAGACCTGTTTTATTTTCCATTACAGTAATTCCATGTTCCAATGAAATCTAACTCTTCAATTTTAATATCAGCGGTCGGATCCTGAAATATGGAAGTGAAACTAAGTAAATTTTTACAGTCAAGTAATACTATAACTTCTATTCGTAAAATTTTACAAGATTTGTTCCCAGTTTCGGACAAATTCACAATATTACTACATAACAACTTAGTAATGTAAGCAGTAAGGGCCCTCTCCAAATTTTAATCTGTAGAAGTGCACGTGCAAATAACGCGCGGCTTCAATGCAAAAATACGTGTGTGCTCTTGGCGCGCGCTAAAACTCTGCGCTGAAAATATTGGTTTGGTACCAGAACGAGAGTTTTAAAATTCCCGCCAATTTCAAACTCCAAAAAAAGAATCCGAAATTTTGGGACAGCCTAAAACATATTCTGATTAATGCTTTTCGACTTTATTTGTCCGTAAACTGACAACTACAGCAAATCTATCTTCTCTACGAACTGGGCCCGAGTTACTTGTTTTAAAATACAGCAAATCCATCTTCTCTACGAACTGGGCCCGAGTTACTTGTTTTAAAATACAGCAAATCCATCTTCTCTACGAACTGGGCCCGAGTTACTTGTTTTAAAATACAGCAAATCCATCTTCTCTACGAACTGGGCCCGAGTTACTTGTTTTAAAATACAGCAAATCCATCTTCTCTACGAACTGGGCCCGAGTTACTTCTTTTAAAATACAGCAAATCCATCTTCTCTACGAACTGGGCCCGAGTTACTTGTTTTAAAATACAGCAAATCTATCTTCTCTACGAACTGGGCCCGAGTTACTTGTTTTAAAATACAGCAAATCCATCTTCTCTACGAACTGGGCCCGAGTTACTTGTTTTAAAATACAGCAAATCCATCTTCTCTACGAACTGGGCCCGAGTTACTTGTTTTAAAATACAGCAAATCCATCTTCTCTACGAACTGGGCACGAGTTACTTGTTTTAAAATACAGCAAATCCATCTTCTCTACGAACTGGGCCAGAGTTACTTGTTTTAAAATACAGCAAATCCATCTTCTCTACGAACTGGGCCCGAGTTACTTGTTTTAAAATACAGCAAATCCATCTTCTCTACGAACTGGGCCCGAGTTACTTGTTTTAAAATACAGCAAATCCATCTTCTCTACGAACTGGGCCCGAGTTACTTGTTTTAAAATACAGCAAATCCATCTTCTCTACGAACTGGGCACGAGTTACTTGTTTTAAAATACGACAAAGTTAACTGCTGAATGTTCCCGGTCAAAAATTAATTATAGTTTATATTAAAATATTGTCTATTGTCTATGTTTTACTATAATGCTGGGAGCCTTGTTGTAAATAATAGGGTACATACCATTCCTTGAAAGTCGTTATTTCGGAGTGAGCAATCATTTTGTTGACTAGCGAATCTAAATTGAAAGTCGAATATCACTCAATTTCAGTTGCAGGTCGACATCCTTAAAATTAGAGAGCAAATAATTTTATTTTGTACTCTACTTCAGTCAATATAAATAGAAATTACAGCAATTTGAAGTAACACCATATCAAGCTATATCATACATAATTATGAAAGCCTCGCAGAGATCTCGATTAAATCTGTAAACGTACATTTAACGGTAAGATATATAGATAGCGCGCAATATATACGCACGCATAAAACCAATATGGCTGCCACACAAAGCTACAAACTGGAACAAGAAATGAAAATTGTGAATTCAACCAGCTTTGATACTATTATCCAACGCGACATTGGTTTGGGTGCATTATCGACACGTTTTAAATGCGCGGAAAATTTTTGTGCGCGGCACTAGCATTTTAAATTTTCAAAATTCAAATCATAGCCAGAGTTATGGTTATTTTTCAAGACAAATTTTGAGGCAAATTTTACGTGTAAATTATTCATTTTTCATTCATGATCACTCATAATTTCAACAATTTACCTTGGATTGAATTGAACTCTTCAGTATTCGATGATTAAAACAATTGTTTTAAGAACAAAGTAGTTTTAAAGCTAAACATTCGCAATTTGTCTTAACAGGAGTCTTGGGAGAATTATAAAAATGAAATTTAAACGTTTTAGCGGCGCATGAAGCCCGCGGCGTTCGCTGGGGTGGCAATGCACTACTGGGCCGCGCGCGCATCCAATATAAATGCTTCTCGCAACCGGCGAGATGCGGATCGGCGAGATGCGAAGGATTGACATCGTGAATCAAAAGTACAAGGTACAGCTTACTTTTACAATCCCACAGCTTATTCATATACCATAAAAAACGTATAAGCATATCCACAGAACGGTCCACATCTAATTGCCACCCCATATATAATATGCCCAGCCTGTTTAATATGGGATATCAGGCGCAGGCTTTTTTGTTCAGAAACAATCGCCGCTCAGTAAAATTAAAGCTGTCCATATTGTTAGAAACAAATTGGACTCGTACGTTGACGGTTTTTAAATAGTTGGAACAAATATTTTACGAGTATCTCTCGTTAATTGTAAATACATAATTATATTAAAAGGACAATTGGGAGGACGTACATACTTTTGTTGTTTGTTATTTTGCTTTGCCGAAATCATTTGTACTTAATTTTGATATTAATTGACGTATGTTACTCGTCTAAATTTTTTCGAAGTAGCGCGCGCCGGGCTAGTCTATCATTAACAATGGACAACATTTAGATTCGAAGTCTGGAAAATGTTATAAAGACAAAACAGTTGATCCAATTTAATGTTTAAATGCAGTTGATGTGAACATTATCACAAAAATGAAAAATGATACAAAATCGTATATTTAATTGGTTAAATTTTGAAGCAATGATTATAGAATGAAACTGTCTTTAATTAACATATTACGTGCATTATGAATTATACGACATTAACTCACATTGATAACTAGTGTTGATTTTAAAAAAATAACTTTTACAATTAAATGACTTTATGACTTGTGTGATAAAATTTAAATTTCTTCCCTTACTTTGAACTACCATACCTCGATTAGAATATGATGTTACTTTATTTATCATACCTATGTCGATAAACCAGTTACTTTGCAAAAAGCTGATGATGTTTATGAGTATTGCTGAAAGCACAGTGTAAGGCCTACACGGACCGCCTCTAACTAGCCAATCCCTGTTTACATGCCGTGTAGCAGCATGTCATTATTCTTAATCTAATCTAATCTAAGAGTTATAATTTTATTTGCGATGAAATCAAAATCATCTTACCATGTTGAGATGTTATAATTCTACAAATGTTAACATATTATATGTAGCATAATAATTTATGTGACTAGTGTTGCAATAGTGCTGCAATATTGTTATATTCAAGATCAAAAACAGCAAATTTTGTAATGAACATTTTTTACTGTTGTGACTTGTGTTGATTGACGACGGAATTTACCTTGACGAAATAAGTCGTTAAATCCTTTGAACTGGACATTCTTAAATTTGGTCAAACACAACAGCAAGGATTCCTCTGTCACATTGTTAATGTGACAAAATTTAAATCTCCCTGCTGGCCGAATTTAAGCGATATCTTATCATCTGAAAAAGATATCGTTATGTGACAAAGTTTGCAGGGGAGGGGGGGGGGGGGTGCTTTTTCAGCGGGGGCGCTAACAGGCAATGTTACGCCACTGGGTATATGAGACACTAGACAAGATTTTTAAGAGGTTACAGACACTGGGAATTGGGATCATCTCTATACTGGGTTTTTCTATACCATGCACTTTTGGTTTCCTCAAGAGAGAAATATTGTTATTTTTAAAAGATTTTATTTTTTTCAATATTACAAAACTATCATTTTATCATTTCTTCTAGGCGTAGTTCCTGCAATCATGGAAATGATTGATACGGTAGGAGACTACTTGAATCAGATTCCTTACTTTCCTGTGCTACATTCGGTGCATTGTCTGGCAACAACTGCATCTATTAGGTCACAACCAGGATCACTCGAATTTGCCCACAAGCACCCTCTCGCATCACTTGCTGGCAATACTATGATAATAAATGCAGGAGGTATTTTGGTTGCTGCATCATTAGGAAAACCTTTGATGGGTCCATTTGCAAATGTGATGAATACCTTCACTGCAATCTTCATGTGGTGGCTGGTCTACTTTGGACCTGGAGATGTTGCCTTCAACTTGTACAAAATAAAGCCAGTGCAAATTTTGCTAATGGCAGCCAGAGAAACGAGACGGTGCAAAAAGATCCTGTGGGCTGTAAGTTCTGCTGCAGCTATCTTTGAAGGGCAGTGGATTCCTCTTGTCCTAGTTGGCGCACTTGGTGGCTGTTCAGGAAAGTTTCTTCAAACTACTGAAGAGTCAGTGAGGAAGCACTCAGCTGAGATGAGTAGAGGAGAGTTCTTGCAGATATCCTTTGTCACCAAGGCATCACTGCTCATTTCAGGAATTCTTTCCATGATCCAAATTGGATTGATACCTCTGACGATTGCGCAAGGTCTCTTCTTCTGCTCTGCAATGCTTGTTTGTGTTAACCTTGGCATGAGTCTGGCTGGCCTGCCAGACCCATTCCATCCTATAGCCAATGCAACATGGAAAGTAGTGTCAATTGCAACAAAAGAACCGGCCAAGGAGTCAGCCTCAAAGGTCGCTGATGAAGACATGAAGAAAGACAACTAGAAGTATGTCATGAGTGGATATTGCATTTAATTGCAGTTTGGCATCTGATATTGCTGAAAGCTATGTCTATTCTCTTCTAATTTTTCTGTGTTATTGTATTGTGCTTGGACTTAGAACTACAGCCATTCAGATGCCATCGTTATTTGAGGACACTATTATAGTACACTTGTACATACTATACAAATTATGCTTTGACTACAGCTGTTAAATTAGCTGGACGGTTACTTTATTAATTACATCTTACTTGATCGATAAGAATTCAAAAATTATGGAATCTTTTACAATTTCAATGTTCAGTCTATCTGTCATTTACTTATTTGTTTTAAGAAATTAAATTATTGTGACTGAGTTTCATTTTGATATCTTCACATAAGTGGTCAAATTTACTTTTTATCAAGAGAAGTTTTAAGAGGAATTATTGTTTCAATTATATACTGTATTGGATATATATTTATTTTATGGTGACTTTCTATCTTTGATGTTTATGCATGTATCTGATTTTGTTGTTGTTTATTTCGCATGGATTTGAAATCAATTTTTAAAAATGTATTTATTGATATGGACATTGTTACCTTGTGTGCTTAGCTTTTTACTTCTTAATGGATTGTTTGATAATTTGTGTTTGTGCTTTTCAATAATGTTACAATCAGGCCCTAGGAAAAATATTTATAAAATTATTCTATGAACAACTGCACTAGAATGTATTGATGTTGCATTACATTTCAAGCAATAATGAAAGTTCAGTATTAGAATACACACTGTTTTTGGAAGCTCATTATTTCTACTTATTTGATTTTGTGCAATATCGATTTTATAGAAAACAAACATATTGAATTGTGAAGGGGTGCAATTGGAATTTTTAACTTGATAAATGAGATATGGCGTTGGTTATTAAATTTTATGATAATATATGATATTTTACATAATGTTTCTACTACTAATTAGTAGAAGAAATATAGTTTTAAAATTGCTAAGTGCATATTTCAAATATTTTATTGCTTATCTTATCTTCATAATTTTCTCGTGTTTCATTTGTCAGCATTTGCTGGTATCAGGTGAATGAAAATTAGTCCCTATGGGTTATGTTACCCAATCAAGCATTTTTTAAATGATTGCATCATTCAATTACTCTTAAAATGATACATCTTGTACTTGCTCTCAGCAATATCTATTTCATCAAACTAATGGATATCTTCAGGATGGCGATGCAAGTGATGTACCAGCAACCACAAATGAGTGAGTTTCTTTCTATATTTGGCGATGCATATTTTATCGGATTATTATTGGATGATCTGATGCAGACGCCCTTTCCCTTTGGTTTATAAGTTTATAATAATACTATCCTACCTGTCCATTATTTAAATACCAGTCCTAAACTGATTAGTGGGGTTGTGCTACTGTAATAAACTTTTTTTGTTTGATTTTTTATTCTCGTACCATCAGTCGTGCTTTCAGATTTGACTAAAGTTTAGCAATTTTATTAAAGCTGGTTTCTGTCTATCGTTTATCAACTCATATAATAATATATACCCTGATTTTACAGCATAGATAGATATACTGTATAGTAAATAAGATTTAGAATTTCATTTAGCAGCCCTTTTATTGTTTTTTGTTCTGACCTGATACATTTTTAAATAAGTTCCGAGAATGGAGCTTTTTTGCTATAAGAGGTACAGTTGTGATCAAACATCTCGTCAAATACTCAAAACCTGCGCATCCTGTTCTTATTTAACATATGTGTAATTCGCACTCGAGTTTAGTCACAAGGACTCATAAGTCATCATGGGGCAATAAACTTTGTCGTGCTCATAACATGTGATCGGTTACGTTAAATAAATCAGCTGATCACTTATTATTTAATCAATAGTTACACTGTAATTTCAAACGCTAATCCATCTTATCGTGGGCCAACTTTATGTTGACCATTAAGATTCGCTTTTTAGGCCCCATTTTCGATGCAAATAAATATAGAATTTACTTACTGATCACATTTTTGTTCGCTGATGCCCAAATCTCTGTTCTTAAATTACACAGGCCCAGTGGCCCTATAATAAAATGTATCTTGCCAAGTCTGAAGTTAGAGTTTTAGTTTGTATTTATGTCACCATGGCGATACTGCCATATATTAGTTAAGTGTTAAAATTATAGCACAAAACTGAATTTGTTATTGCCAGAGGCTGTTGAGTTGTCAGGACAATATCGAAACAACCTCCTTATTTTGACGATGTTTTAACGGGAACTGCACTTCTACTTCTTCCACTCTTTGAAAACAGTCTTCTCTCTCTCTCTCACTCACTATATCAGATCTGTTAAACACTCAATTGCAGCGTTCTAACACCGCTCCATTAACGAGGGCTGTGTTTCCATAGCTGAGTGCTGTTGTGCCACGTAACAGGGCATGTGAGCGCAGTTAGCCACTCCGCAAGCATCCACTCCGCAGTCAGCCACTCCGCCCCCTCCCTCCCATAGTGCATGTGACTCCCTGTTTTAAAATCAATGTGTATTGAGCAGCAGTGCATATTGAATGTTACCGGAGAGTAAAGCGCACGCAGATACAGTTGTCATGTGTAACCTACACTACAAATAACATATTATACACGCATCATATACATATTTATATCAGATGGATGCGATACTTAATTTGCGTTTTTGAAACTTTTCGGCAAGCACAGTTGCTTCTCTCTGCTGTTGCTGGTCGTGCTTGCGCGCTTGATGACAAACCAGTTTTCTTTCTTCCGAACGTGTTTCTCGAGCGGTAGTAGTGAATAAAAGCAGCCGGGGTTAGCCCTGATTTAGAGAAGTGCATTAGCAGTACTGCTGCTCTGTTATTACCGGGCACCCACCTGCAGGAATACATAGAAATACCGTTGCTTCCTAAGTAGGAAATAAAACTCACCACCCATTGGCTGCTCCGCTCCCTCCAGTTAGCCAATTACTTCCATTAATTTTCTCCCGTACCATTAAAAGCAGCCATTCCACAGCTAGTTATGAGAGCACAAAGAGGCAACAGTTTGGTAAACCATTACAGCGTCAGAGCCAAATAATAGCTACCCAACCAGGGACCTGCCCTCGGTTTAAAGTCGTAATATTTTAATATTGCAGTGTAAATTAAAATAATGAATACTGCATTGGCCTATGATTTGGGCCCATTGTGTCGAAATTGTGGCCTTTTAGAAAAGTAATTACTCGCCAACATTTCATTGGTGTGAGAGCCATGTCAACCAGTTAAATATTGAATAGTGTTACTCGTCGCAAAGATTACTTTCTTGTACCGTGGCAAACCAATCCACAATAGCTATATTTTCATATTATGCTCGCTCGAATATTTTATGCGGCCATTACAGTAATACGGTACAGCTACATCATATTTTGATCATATTCATTTCCTTTCTGCAGCCGTAGGTACTAGCATATTCAAATTTGGCCTTGGGTTCCCATGGGATATCACGTGATGTCACGTGTCCTCGGATACTTGGATAGTTGATCATGAGTTACTAATCGTATCGTACACAGAATATGTGCGTGTGTGCGTGCGTGCGTGCGTGCGTGGGTGCGTGCGTGCGTGCGTGCGTGCGTGTGTGCGTGTGCATGCGTATACATGCGTATACATGCGTGCGTATAGTTACAATAAACGTCCAACATTTGTGGCTATATATCAGTTCTTAGTCCCCCTAGTTTTGGTATCTTTGCAAAACATCAAGGTTTGAATGTAAATGTGTGTCCGATCCAATGATCAATAGAATAGTGTGAGCGGAAAGCAGTAAACAATAATCTAATAACTTAATTAATAATAAATATATGTTAATCGTTTCTCTTGATCTCCTTAAAAACCCTAATTTAAGTAACTTAAAATGCGCTATATTAAAGGATCTTCACCGTACATGTAAGGTATCAGTGGAACCTAAACGTTGACCTTATTAGAGGTCCTGACCTAAAGACAGGCGTGCTTGATACCATTGTGTCATTACTAGAGGATTACAGAGCAGATTATTTGACTAATTTGACAAAACACTGGTGTAGGGAGCCCTAACTCGACTGGGTGCTCTCATCTAGATTGCAGCCTCAGGAGCCAGATTTTACAGTAACTCAGGTTCAATATTATAATGTTAATGTTAGTTATGAGGTTGGAGCATGCTGTGCACTCCTTCAGACCAGACGGCAACTATGGGACAGATTCATGACATTTGAAATTCCGTGGCAGCTTTGACCTTGGATTAATTAGTCTCCTCCATTTTAGTCTGGAGAAATCTCCCTAGGTTCCTGAAAATCAGCAGAAGTTAGTGTCCAGTGTACTAACAGGCTTCTCATAGGCCTGCTCCACCTGCTGCATGCTGCAAACCTTACATCCAACTCTTAATTTCCCACTGTGCAACTCGTAGGGGTACAGGGAGGTACCCTCAGACCGTACCAGTATGTGTGTTACTGGTTAGGGAGGTACCTGTAGAAGGATAGTATGTGTGTTACTGGTTTTAGTTATCCAATTTAGTTACTTCCGGTTCACCCACGTTAGTAATTGACCCAGCCTCTATTGCCACCCCGCGTTTAGTGCAACTCATGATCTACAAGGTAAAAGTAAAGCAAATATCTCCGCCGAATTATACCCGTTTGTGTGTCCGTGTGTCCGGTGTGTCCGTGTGGTGTAAATATGGCGGTGCTCGCTCGGTGCCACTTCCGAGTCAATAAAGAGGTGACACGGGCATAGCACCGAGAGAGAGAGGTGTACATAAACACTGTTATAATACAATTACACTTCCGAACGGATCCTCTGACACTGATTTGCGAGGTGCAGTCACGTGGTCTTGTTTGAGCCGTTAATTGGGGGATGAGCTGCTACTCGTCTTCTTATTGGTTACAGTCAGGGTGCTCTTGTTAAGTGTTATGGTGGGGTGGGTAAGAGAGAGGGGCCGTTTCCTCCTCCACCACCTGGCACTTTGTACAGTACGAACACTCCAACATTATTATAAGCCCAAACATTGGGCAAGTCCGCTTGTGGGGTATTTAGCATGTCGTCAAGAATGGGCTTATGCAGTGTTTCCAGCCGGATTCCTGCGCTTTAAGTACTGCCAGGCATTCTAGACTTTGACACTGATGTTAGGAGTTTGACGTAGCACATTGTTACTTGGAATGTAAAGCACTCCCATTCCGCAACATGTGTGTACAGACGTAAAAGGACAAATATTTGATATGATTTTATGAAAAAGTGTACGAATAGACGAATGGGGATGCCATAGAAAAAACCTTTTGTGTAACAATTCTCGATATAATACCATTTGATTGTGCTGCATTTTAATTATACGCATCTCAATACTCGCGATCAAACAATAAATGTATCTTTTCTTGATATATTTACTACAAATATATTCCTCAGAACTTCGTCAGACAAGGACACCAATTAATAAACAAAACCGGAGAATTAGTTTCGCAGCAATTCTTATGGCTTTGAATTGATAGATAGACAGCACGAAAACAGCTTGATTAGAGCCCATTTGGCAATATGCTAATATGACACCTTACCTCTCTCTCCCTCTCTCTCCCTCTCTCTCTCTCTCTCTCTCTCTCTCTCTCTCTCTCTCTCTCTACAGTATCGTATATTTCCAACAAGTATATCCTGTAGCCAAACAGTTGAGAATGTTTACTTTTTCTTTGCACCATGTGACAGCCACCAGATCTCGAAAGTTCTTAAAATCTCCCTGTCCACTGACCTTGCTATAAAGATTCTCTCAGCCCAGGTTACAGAGCAATTATGAGATTATGTGATTGATGACGTTGTACTTATTAACCCTCTCCCAATGACCGCCCTTCGAATCTCAGACATCAGACATTTCCGGGCAAAGTCAATTTGCGTGGGATCCAGTTTTTAAACAGTCTCTCTCTCTCTCTCTGTTCTGGTCAACGGTTTCTGGCCTCTTACGTTAAGATGGAGGCCTTCTCACCGTGCCCACAGAATGCAACTCCTGCTAGCTGCACGCCAGGACTCCCAAAGTATATACGAAATCATAAAATAATAAATATCAATGCAACAGACCCCTGGAGTCTTGAAGCTGTCACTACCTGTCTCAGAGCAAACCCACTTCCGTTGTAGTACTTCTGCGGGTAGACAAGGGACTTCCGAGCAAGGTCAAAGCCTGGGAGATATGTCTCTATGCGGAGATGGGCCTAGGTTGAGTTCCTAGTATGGGATTTAGCGAAAGTTCCTGGTGAAGAATCCAAGGAGGTTACCCAAAAGAGTTTTCCCT